CCCTCCAACACTCAACAGCAACAGTTTGTATCGTTTACAAGGTACATGCAGTAATTCACCAAGGCTGCTTAGAGAGCACCTGCCAAATCTACGACTACTTCCATCTAGAAGGAGGGCAGCAAATACATGGGAACACACCATCTCCAAGTTCCCCTCGAAGCCATTCACCATCCTGACCTGGAAATATGTCACTGTTCCTTCACTGTTGGGTCAAAATCCTGGAATTCTCTCTCTGATGGCATTGTGGGTCTACCTACAGCACAAGGGCTGCAGCTGTTCAAGAAGGATGCTCACTACCACCTTCTCACGGGCAACGAGGGATTGACAATAAATGCTGCTGACCTTACAAAATCCATCCCACCCCCCCAACACACACACACAAATACCTCCAAACCTTAGAAGTCACTGACTCTCACAAATACTCCCACAATAACCCTCAAAACCCAACAAATCCGTCATCCTCTGAGAGAATAAGAGAAAGCTGTGGAGAGAAATGTTGATAATTCTGCTGGTTTATACCAGAATATGTCAGTTCTGATGTGACTACCAGCTTTAGGCGGAGTGTGCAAAACCTTCCATCACAGCACCATTTCAAGAAAACTGCTCGCAGAGTCGAAGTCCCCCTGGACCGTAGGCGGGTGACCCCGATTACTTAGATGGGTGGGTGGTTAGTGTCCAGTTTTGCAATGCTGAGTGCCAGGATGATAGAGCGGGGTGGGATTGCACTGACGAGCACAGCAGTTTACACACATTCCCACCCCTCTCTCTCTTTCTTTCGCTCTGCTGTTGTGTTCCTTTTGATTCTGATCTGTTAAGTTTCCTGTCCGGTTCCGGCTCTGAGGCGGCTCAGTGTTTCCTGCTCCGCCTTCGATGTGGGAGCCGGTTGCAGGCTGTTCCGGATCTCAGTGAAGGAGTTGCGGGCCACATCGAGGGAGTAGTGCCAGGGCACAGGGGGTAGGCATCCCCCCCCCAGGTCTACTCCAGCGACAGCGGTATACACCGAGACTGAGAGATGTCTTACACATACCAGGGGGCACAAGTCAACTATCTCTTCAAATATATCCTGTTCACCTTCAACACCATCTTTTGGGTGAGTGTGAGGGACGAGGGCTATCTGTTAGGGGTGAGAGTGATGGGAGGGGGTATTTGTGACAATTGGGGTGATTTATAGGGTTCAAGGTACTTGAATCGAGGGTATTTATGAGCGCGGTTTGTGGGATTGGGAAGTACTGTGAGTGGTTATTAGAATCAGGGTGTTGGAAGGGTAGTTTGCAGGGTCAGGGGTATTTGTGAGTGTGGGTTTTATGGATGGGGCTATTTGTGAAGGTAGGATTTAGTTTAGGGCCAAGGGTTTTTGTGAGCGTGGCTTTTAAGGTCAGGTATTTGTGAGGGTGTTTTTAGTCTCCGATATTTGGGAGGGTGATTTGTCGGGTCTGGGTATTTGGGAAGCTGGTTCCTAGGGTCTGGGGAATTTGGGAAGCTGGTTCCTAGGGACTGGGGTATTTGGGAAGCTGGTTACTAGGGTCTGGGGTATTTGGGAAGGTGGTTTGTAGGGTCTGAAGCATTTGGAAGGGTGGTTTGTAAATTCTTGGGTATTTGGAAAGGTGGTTTGTAGGGTCTGAAGCATTTGGAAGGGTGGTTTGTAGGGTCTGGGGTATTTGGGAAGGTGGTTTGTAGGGTCTGGAGTATTTGGGAGGGTGGTTGTAGGGTAAAGTGTATTTGGGAGGGTGGTTTTTAGGGTCTGGAGTATTTGGGAGGGTGGTTTGTAGGGTAAAAGGTATTTGGGAAGCTGGTTTATAGGGTCTGGGGTTTTTGGGAGGGTTGTTTGTAGGGTCTGAAGTAATTGGGAAGGTGGTTTGTAGGGTGTAAGATATTTGGGAAGTTAGTTTATGGGGATCTTACTCTGAATATCTTTGCTGTTTCCAAGGAAATATTGAAAACCCTTTCTGATGTAATGTGACTGTCTGGCCAAAGGCTCCTTTTTTAAATTCATTCATGGGATGTGGGCATCACTGGTTGACCAGCATTTATTGCCCAGAGGGCAGTTAAGAGCCAACCACATTGCTGTGGATCTGGAATTACATGTAGGCCAGACCAGGCAAAGAAAGCATATTTCCTTCCCTAAAGGCATTAATGAATCAGATGGGTTGTTCCAACAACCAGCAATTGTTTCATGATGGTGAGGTGCCAGTGCTGGACTGGAAGTCATATGACACCAGATTATGGTCCAGCAGGGTTAAAAATCACAAGCCTTCAGAGCGCTGCTCCTTTGTCAGGTGAAATGAGAGGGGAGCGCACAGACACAGAATTTATAGGCAGAGAGATCAAAAGATTGCGCAAGTGGTATGAGTGGAGTGTTGACAGGCTGAATAACAAGTCTGTGCAGGTGATCAAAAGTGTCAGACAGTGTGAGTAAAGTGTCAACAGCTGAATAGCAAGTGAAGGGATGACCTATGATCCAATTAGGAATTTGGCTATCAGCCTCTGCTCAGCAATTTTGCGATGTTGTGTATCTCAAAGTCCGCCTTGGAGGATGTTTACCCGAAGATCGGAGGCTGCATGTCCGTAACTGCTGAAGTGTTCCCCCACTGGAAGGGAACAACCATGTCTGGCAATTGTTGTGTAGTGTCCATTCACTGCTTGTCGTAGCATCTGCATGGTCTCGCCAATTTACCATGCCTCGGGGCATCCTTGCCTGCAGCGTCCTTACCTGTTGTCAGGTGCTGGTGTTGGACTGGGGTGGACGAGGTCAAAAGTCACACAACACCAGGTTATAGTCCAACAGGTTTATTTGAAATGACAAGTTTTCAAAGCATAACTCCTCCACCTGGTGTTGTGTTACTTTTGACCTTTTCCAGCTCAGTCCAACACCAGCACCTCCACATCATGACAGGATACTTGTAGCCTGTGATTTCTTGCTGGGTCCAGTCTACTTTGCTCTTGAGAAAACACCACAGTTGTGATAACCATGCTCTAGGGTCTGCATGTGCTCTCCTTTCAACCAGAGATCACTGCTCAGTGATTAGGAATCCAGCTGATTTCCGCTCCATCTCTAACCCAGGGGATCACTGGACTGTGATCAGGTGCAGGAACCCTGGCTGATTCCCGCTCTAAAATCTGTCATTCTTTATTACTTGTATGTTTTCTGATGAATTGTGCTTTAAGCCTCTGTTGCTGGTCGACAATTCCAGATGCTGCTGCATAAATTACATTCTCCTGATCCTAACCCTAACCTTTCAGTTTTTTAATCATGACCTTCAATTTATTCCCTCCAATAACGGACTCACCAGTTTCTCTGGAAAATATTTTTTCTCCTTTCAATGTGTTTAGCAATGTTAGGCACATCTTGCTGATCGCTTTAACATTTCATTGAAAGAAAGCCACTTTCTTAAGGCATAAAAAGAGAAAGCAATGGAAATACTCTGGCAGCTGCTGTGGAGAGAGATTCAGGGATATAACATTTCAGGATTGTGACCTAAAGTCAGAACTCCAGTTACTCTAGCCTCACCTTGTAATTCCAGTCTTAACTCCCTGGGCAATGTCATCTGTGGTTCAGTAGGTAGTATCATGTCTTTTATCTAGGAAGGTGGGTTCAAGCCTGTCTCCAACAGTTAGTCCGGGTTGACTGACAGGAAGCTTCAGTATTGGAGATAATCTTTCAGATGAAATGTTAAATTGAGGCCAAGTATGTTCTCCCAGGTGAAAATGAAGATCTTGTGGCACTTTTTGTGGATATCTACCCTTCAACTGATCTCAGTAAAGAAATTGTCCGATTACAGTCCAGGAATCTTGGCTGCAGGTTTCTAACATGACCACAGTGACGTTCCTCAAGAGTAGTTTCTTGGCTCTGGAGTTGTTTGGACTGACCCAAGGTGCTGAAAGGTGCAAGTAGCTTGTAGCAATGACATTTTCCTGCACCGTCCTCGCTGCCTTAAAAAAATCCTCTGTGAGGAACTCTTGCCCCAGTTTAGCTTCTGGTCAAGGGTCAGGCAGTCTGGTGCAGGATCGAGGACAGTCACTGCAGATGTCTAGTGCAACGAGGTGGCACTGAGAGCTCCCATAGAAACCTTTTGGAATTAGCAATAACACCTGCATTTTCAGAAGACTGAATATTTTGGCAGACGGAAATATTTTTAGCAACTGATTGAGATTGATTTGGAGTTGGGGCAGGGCAGGTGCTCAGGCCTTGCTGGTGAGGGATGAAGTGCAGTGCAGCTGTTTAACAGCGTGGCAGTGATCTTGTACAACACAAACACCAAGGCTGTGGTTTTCTCTTTGTTTCGAATCACTGCAGCTTTGCACATTGTACCTGCCCCCAGCTCGGAATCCAAAAGCAACAGTTCCAGTGACATCCTGTAGCACAGGAGGAAGGTTGCTGTCTACCTCTGCCCAGTGACGGACCCTGTATCCTCTCACCCCCTCCCTCAGTGACAGATCTGTCCCCCCGCCCTGTCCCTCAGTGACAGGCCTATATCCCCACCCTTCGTGACAGGCCCCATACACTCTCCCTCTTCCCTTAGTGACAGATCCATAACCTCTCCCCTTTTCTCAGTGACAGACCTGACCCCGCCCCCCTCCCTCAGCAACAGACCCATTCCCTCTTCCCTCCTCCCCCAGTGACAGGTGCATACCCCTTCCCCCTCCCTCAGTCACAGACTGGGACCTCCTTCCTCTCTCTCAGTGACAGACCCATACCCTTTCCCCTTTCATCAGTGACAGACCTGACCCCTCCCCCCTCCCTCAGCGACAGACCCATTCCCTCTTCCCTCCTCCCCCAGTGACAGATACGTACCCCTTCCCTCTCCCTCAGTCACAGACCAGGACACCCTCCCTCTCTCTCAGTGACAGACTTGTAACCTGTTCCCCTTCCCTCAGTGACAGACCAGTCCCCCTCCCACAGTGATCAACCCGTACTCCCTCCCCCTTCCCTCAGTGACAGACCAGTCCCCCTCCCACAGTGATAGACCTGTACTCTCTCCCCCTCCCACAGTGACAGACTTGTACACTGTAACCCCTTCCCCAGTGACAGTGTCCGATTTCTAACTCGGTCTCTCCTTTTTACCATGGCACAACCCCCAGCCCCTAACCCCCAAACCAACTTTTGGTGATGGACCTGGAACCTTCACCGTTCCCTGAGCTCATTTTGTAAAGCAGGCACTGAGTGAGAGGTGTGAAATGAGGCCTTATTCTGTGAGTGGGTGTAGTGAGTCCTTTCTGTTTACAGTCTGAGGGTGGGGATACTGAAGCTGGTGCTGCTATTCTGTCCTGATTCTCCCAAAGCCACTGCTAGAGCAGTTCCAGAGATCAGCTTATCTGACAAACCATATTTCATTGTGGTAGGTCAGCAATTGTTGTATTATTGTTTATAAACCTAACCCTAATCCTATCACAGTGATATGCAACAGGCTCAGTGATGACACCTCAATAATTAGGTTTTGATGACAAACCAATTTGCACAATATTGATTGGAGTAACACTGACACAAACCAAGACACACACCTGAGACATATGCGCACATATTCACATTGAGACACATAATGATATGCACACATGCTGAGACATGCATGCACACACTGAGAGAGACACACTAAGATACAACCTCACAGAGGACCACACACATGCTGAGACATGCATGCACACACTGAGAGAGACACACTAAGATACAACCTCACCCAGTGACATACATGTGCACACAGATACTGAGATATCACACTCAAACTGTGATACACGCATGCATATGAAGATATGTACTGAGATACACACAGTGATATATACACACAGAGATACAGACACACATTTACACTGTGATACACACACACACACACACAGGCATGCTGAGACAAAGATTCACACTGAGACACACACACATACACACTGAAACAAGCACACAGTGATGCAGACGCACACACAATGACACACACAGACACACATGCTGTGGGGAAATTATTGGAGACTATAATCAAGGATAGAGTAACTGAACATTTTGCTTTCAGTTTTCAGCGAATCAGGGAGAGCCAGCATGGATTTGTGACAAGTAGGTCATACCTGACAAACCTCACTGAAGTTTTGGAAGGGTGACTAAGGTGTCTA